CTCCTGGCCTAGTTTTCAAAGCTGATATTGAGCTTCTCCAGCGGTTTTTTCCACAGATGTAATCGATCTGAATCCTATGCATACCATCAGGTGAAATCCATGTGTATAACCTGCATTTATATCTCTTAAAAAATGTATCTGCAATGAATAAGTCATTGAGTGTGCAAAATTCAATCATTCTAACTCCAGCTTCATTTCTGTCACCAAGTCCATGTTTTCCAACTACTGATTCTTCTTCCCTGTTCCCAACTTTTCCGTTCCAGTCACCCATTATTATCAATGCATCTTCATTGCACGTTCGATCGATCTCCGACTGTAAGAGTTGGTAGAAATTATCTATTCTTCTTTGGCTCTGGTTGTTGGTGCATATATCTGAAAGATAGTGGTATTCACTGGACTTCCTTGTAAGTGTATGGATATAATCCTGTCACTCACAATGTTGTACTTCACGATGGATCAAGAAATTTCTTTTTTAACTATGAAAGCAACTCCATTTTTCCTCACCTTTTCATCTCCAGAATATATGTCATATAATCATCTGACTCAAAATGCCCCATGCCAGTCGATCTCATCTCTCCAGTGCCTAGTATGTCAATATTTATGCGTTCCATTTCTTTCTTAACAATTTCTAATTTTTCTACATTCATGGTTCTCACATTCCATGTTCCAATCACTAGTGTCTGCTTACAACTGTCCCTCTTCCTTTGCATTTCCATGCTTGAAAGGTCTACCTAGTTTATTCCAGGTGAGTTTAATCTTTTCCCATGCTACAAATGGCCTTAAGCTGGCTGGTTGCTATTCTGTAAAATACCCAAACACTATTTTGCGATAGATTTTACTAGTAAATTTAAGTGCTCTCTTTAGGTCATAGACCTATATATACCATAATAAAAGTAGAAAGTTTAAAGGGAAGCATGGGATCTAATAATTATTTAGACCTTTTCCTGACATCAATGTTAATTCCCTTTTATAATACTGAAATAAAATACTGCCACTGGTAAAAAAAAAAAAAAGAAAGGTCTACCTAGGTTGCCCTTTCTGTTCATCTACGTGTGCTGTGTTGTACATAGGGTTTGCAGAGGCCTGCTATTTCAGAAGTGGATGGCCAATCCTTCTTCCTAGTCTGTCTTAATCTGAATGTTTAGGAGTATTTGGATGTCAGAAGAAACTCTGAAGATTGCACTGGAACATAGAGAAGCCAAAGCACAAGGAAGAATTCAAGACACTAAGGATCTGAACAGAAGATTCCAAAAGGCAGCACGGAATGACAAAGCAAAATATTACAATGAAATGTGCAGGGAGCTAGAGTTGGAAAATCAAAAGGACCGAACTCGTTCAGCATTTCTTAAGCTCAAGGAAATGAAGAACAAATTCAAATCTCGAGTTGCTATAATCAAGGATGCTTTAGGCAGAATGTTAAATGATCCAGGAGGTATCAAAAGAAGATGGAAGCAATATACTGAGTCATTGTATCGGAAGGAATTGGCAGATACAGAAAAATTTAATGAAATAACATTTGAGCAAGAGCTATG